TTTTTAACAATATTTTTGTGAAATGATTATTATCTTTTATTGAAATATATTTTCTGCAGACGAAATAATTCTTCCAAAGTTAGAATTATATTAAAAAGTAAGAATTAATTACCTTGATACTTTTTTTAGTTTCTCTTATATATCTTCTTTTTCATTCTAGATTTTGCAACCGTTTCGAAAAAAAAAGGAGACGTCTCAGTGCTGCTTTTACATAATTCGCACGTTACATCCCTTTGATAAATTTTATATCAAATGCGTTTTTTGGTTTTAAAGAAACATTAATTATCTCAAACGGAATGAGCGTCATGAATTTGACAAATGCGAAAGCGCAAATACAAATTTACAGCGCAAGCTTGCCTTTTAAGTTGATCGTTGATATTTTCACGTGGCAGAGCACCTGTACGGATTATCATTTATTCTAGTTATTTTAATTCTATTAGTAGATGTAATACAGTTTTGTTAAACACTTCAAATGCAATCAAAACTAAAAAATATAAAACAACATTATTCTATCAAAAATTTGAAAATTTATTTTAAAATAAGAATTTTTATAATTATTTTACAAGAAGATAATAGATTAATAATAAAAAATAAACATGGCGCAATATATTACAATTATGCATGTTGTAAAGTAAAAATAAATAAATTATTAAAAATACTATATTAAAATGTATGTATAGCTATATAATTATGTATGTATAGCTATATATCCTTATTAAATCTTGTATTAAAAGTATATTAGATGATTTGTTCAAAGTAGAAATTCGTACTTGTGAGATGCGGACAATTCAATAGTAACGTTTCAATTAAAGATTGAGGTTACTCAGCTAACGAACTGAACGATTACTCATGTAAAATTTGTCTTGAAATTCAAGATATCGATAAAGAATGATTCATACTTGTGTGAAATAAATTATTATTGACATTAATATATCAATATGTCAGCAATGTCAGAAGAAGAGAAATCTTATTTCTTTTCAAAAAGGATTTTTTTGACGTATGATTTTATATAAAGATATTAATGAAAGATGAAATATAACAAAAAATAAAAGATGAAATATAACAAAAATAAAATACAATACAAAATATGGATGCAAATTGTAATCAAATTTTTTTGCATACTAATGCTTCTTTATTAATAAAAAAGTAATTAGATATAATTGAAATTAAATTTATGATTTTATTTTAGCTTTAATAATTTATGTATATTAATTTGTTTCTAAATGCTTTCTAAATATAGTCCTAAAGTAAATTTAGATTATGAGATTTTATCATGTTATACTATTTTATCATATTATACATTTTATGATTTATGAGATTTTATTATGTTATATTATATATATATGTATATTTTATTATGTTATGTTATACTGTATATATAATTTCTGATTTCTATACATATTATCTATACATATTATGTATAGATAGATGTACTTATACGTACCTATGTATTAATTATTGATTAATCTACTGATAATGTTAAAATGCATTGTTTATAATTTTATAGCAAATAAAACAATTATTTCGACAAATTATATGATGGATGCTATTTTATTTATTTCAGTAGAAGGATCAAATAATACAGAAAATATATGTAGGTAAAGCATAACTGAATTGATGCAGAAAATGTGCTATTAATATTCTTGAATATTAATATGTAACATTAATCTAGAATAAAAGGAAGCAAGATAATCAACCTATCCATTAACAACACCATCAAAAACACGGCTAATATTACGGTCCTTTCCAATTTTATCAACAGCGTAAAATATTACATGTATGTATAAAGAATTAAAGAATAAATTTGCACAAACATATGCTAGATACAAAAAGAGTTTTCTTTTAACATATATTTTCATTATTACACATTAAAATATATTAAAAAATAATTAAAACATTAAAAAATATATATAATATATATATATATATATATTAAATATATATATTATATTAACGTAAAAAACAGAATAAAGATATGAACATACAAGAATATAAATAAAAAAAAATCATGTTCTAGATTTTTTAATTAAAATGCATAGAAAAAAAAGAAGTAAATAATATGTTATATATATAAATTGTATTATTTGAAAAAATTATTTGAAAAAAAATTATTTCCACTCACATCTAAAAGTAATTCCAAGTAAGATTAAAAATAATCTTAATATTTCAAAATCATAAATTAAAACATAAAAACGCCATGCAAATATTTTTTGATAGATCAATAAGACGTTTTCACAATTTCAAACTATTTCTTAGATAATTTCAAGATGATTTCGTAATATTCTCTGGCATATTATTTATCTATACAAAGTTATTCCAAAAATTAAAAAGAAAAACATAAGAGTAAAGCTGAAATAATAAATCAGCTTAGATACAATATAAGTCGTTATTCTATGATAAAAATAAATTATCAAATAGAATATTATGCATTTTAAAAATCTATGAGTCTAAAGAAGTATCAATCAAATGATTTGTGGATCTAGGGGTAACACAATAATTTATAACTTCAAAAGTACTAACAATCCGTAAAATTAGCGATGTGTAAAGTAATTTGCATATTTGTAGATTTGTGAATTTGCAGATCTTGCGGTGCAAACCTAGTAATCTAAGGTTTGAACTATTTACGTATTTATGAATTTAATGATCTGCCCCAGCTATTTACACAACCATGAATTTATGAATCTTTTTAACACTTTACAAACATAATGATATAAATCTTTTTCGTCTACTATTAAACTTGAAATATTTTTCAAATTCAAATAATTTTCAAATAATAAGATAAGAATAAGACCTTTATAATCAATAATTTCACCATCTCTTTTCATACTCACAGATCTTGTCTTTTAACAAATTTACTAAAATACTAATTAAGAAACACGATCCTATTTTTAAAAATTTCACTAATCATTCAAAAATAATCTATTACCTATATATAATTCTCTCGATTAATTATTTTGACATCTTCTTTCTTAAACAATTATGCACTTTTGTTCTTAACAGTATATAATTTAAATAGAAAACATAAAGATCAGCAATCTAACCCTTGCAGATATCTCAATAAATAATCTTGCATAATTCAGTAATTGCTACATATCAATAATCAATACATTATGAAATCGATAAATAAAATCGATCCATAATGCATGTGTTTTCCTGGAGTCTTAAAACGAGATGAGAACATCGCTTTATGCTTTCTATCAACAATACACTCGTTCGCATCGCCGACTTGTCGCTCCGACCGGCAGCCCCCTTTAATTCGCATACGTCAAACGGCGATCACGACGCGAAATACGCCTACGTGGTAAATGCGGATGCGCTTATAGGCCGATCTGATATCCGCGATACGGTATGATTGCGAGCGAGCTATCTCGAAAAATACGGCCTACCATGACCCGTACGATGAGCACGGCCAATGTACGGCAGGCGCTCATGTAATATATAATGTGTATGGTGCACATAACGAATATCTTACGCGGTCACCAGAGCGTTTCCTTACACCGTTAACCGTATCGAAGTGGGTTCTCGGTTCTGGTCGCGTGCTGGTCACCTTGTTCCTTATGCCAATGGCAACGTAATGGCATTATAAATGTCGCCGGCAGCCGAGGCTCGTCTCCGAGTCACCGAGTCAGCGAGTGCTTTTCACGGCGATAATTAATGCGAGCGTCGCCGACGAAAGGCCGACGTGCCGGGTATCGTAACGTAGATTAATTGGACGCTTAATCGTTTTTATTGTACCGCGCACTTCGCGAGGAAGCCTCCGGAAGTATAATAAACGTATATTCCAGCGCTATTTGGTGCGCTTATGCAAGGCAAACGACCAAGGCGGCGCGCGCAATACATACAAAGTACCAATTAAGAGGCGATTAAAGAGAAATAATTATTCGCACATTCGTATTACTCGTGTAGGTGTGTCGGGAGGTTGTAGTGAAATAATTAGTAAACTACTTGTAATAAACGACGACGGTATATATATATATATATATATATACCAATGATAAAATCGATCATTATCCATAATGGACCATTGTCCGTAAGTTGTACGTAAGTTGTCGTTATTTTTTAAGTAGCTCGTTCAAGACAAATCGCGATGCTCCGTTTTTCGCAACATGATTGGCAATTATACGAAATGATAAAAGCACAAAATGATAATACAACATAAATATCCTCGTTAAGGGATATAAAAGAAATTGTTTTAATTCTCGAAGTATTGAATATCTTCTGATTATAATCCTTATATCAATCTCGGAAGAGAGCTTCCAGTTTTAATAATGCAAAAACGATCGATATACCTCGATGTGCTTTATTTTATCAATGAGAATTTCTCTCTCTTAAGTTGGAATAAGCAATATGTCCGGTGCATTTCATACGGCGATTTAGCCCGTGTTCCTCCTGACCTCGTATCCGCATCGCTCTCGCGGAAAGAAATTCAAATCGATTAAAGCGTTTATGCAATTTTGGTAAACCAGGGCAACGGGGTTCTTCTAAGTAGAAAGTAAATCTGATTAAAATTGAAAATAATGCGCGATCCGCTATAGTGCCGCGAGCGCGACTGAACGGCAGTAAATTGCCGTGAAAAAAATAGATGTTGGCTGCATAACAGTTATAGAACAATACGGTTGTTAGGTTTTAGCCGCTATTTACGCGAGCTTATTCCGTAATTCACGATTCTGAACGAACTGAACGCGTTACGCGTATGTAATCTGTGTTGTACTCATCAGCACACTATTTACATTAAATCTATCTGCTGGAACATCGTTTTAGCGCCGATTAACTATTTGCAAAATAAATCGACGCGCGTCTAAAACGTTGTACGCAAATAAGATAGATATTGTTAACGAGTCCGCGGCGTTGCAAACGTCGTGTCAAACGTGTGTCAGGGCGTAGAAAAATTTTCGTACGATTTAAGTGCAACGTTGGAAATGCGTTTTCGTGCACTCACAAAAATTTTCCTTTTCAAATTACAAGCGCGATCGTTAAGCTGTGCAAAAGCGAACGAGATGCGAAAGGGAGCAGGCCGAGGGACGTCATTAAACGCCGCTTCGAACGTTGTTCGGGGAGCGACTAAATAAACGCGCGCGACAGTTTCGAGAAGAGATGAGACCGATAATAGAAAGCAAAGAAACGCCGCGTGATGGGAGGAGCAAATCGCTCCCTGAGCGAGCCCTGAAATCTTTCGCCGCCGCCGCTCCGTCGTGGCCGTAACATCATCGTCGACTCCTCGCTTGTTTCAGATCGCCGCCGCCGTTGCCCAGGATTACGAGGTCTCGGACATTCAGTGCAGCGGCGCGGGATCGGCGGCCGATCTTCTGACAGCGAAGATCAAAAGGCCGGTCGGCTTCAGAGGCGCGCCGCTCTTCGCGGACGACAGATCGGCGAATCCGCTCGCCGACATCCACTGCCAGATCAGGCCGGACCCGAACGATCCCCAAGAGGATAACTACTTCCTGAAGGTGACTGACTTCTCCCGATGCGGCATCCTCAAGAGAAACGTGAGTCATCGAGCGATCGAGCGAGTTACGCGGAACGGATTTTTACGGAGGGACGCCCCACGGTGATGCGCTCGTTACGTTTTCTCGGGGGCTTGCAGCTGACGTTGCACAAACGTATCTCGCGACACGGAACCAACCTTCGTGAGTCGCGATCGGTCGATAGCGATTCTAATTCGCAATTGATTCCCTCGCGGAAGCCCCGCGCCATCGTAGATAGACGCCAATAAAACTGCTTTGCGCATCTGATATCAGGCATCGAGCGCCGTTATTTTGAAAAGAGATATATTAACCAACGGCGCTCGTCCGCTACTTGATAAGACGGACATTAACTGTAACTATTCATTTAATTCTCCTGCGCATCGTTGCTACAAGTGTCCTATATTTGAACCATGACGTATCACGCGGGGGGGAACGGAAGGTGGGGCGTCCTTATAAAAATTCCAACGTTGCTCGAAAGACTGCGGCAACTTGCGTACGGTAAATCTTGTTACTAATGAAATTTTATGCGCGATAAATTTTTATTAAGTCGGAATTGATTGTGCCGTCAGGGATTCATCCACCTGCGAGTGTGGTTCCCCGCCTTTCCCGGCGTGGTGATGCTCGCTGACCAGGAGTTGATTCTGATGTGTCGACCGCCCGAGCCGACGCTGCTGAGGCACAAGGCTGCCGGTTTCGCCGGCACTTTGTAAGTCACACCCATTCTGCGTGTACGATATTTCTGCGAAATCTTCACGAGTAATGGATGAGCATTATTTCCGCCACGCCACGCCGCGTTCGCATTTCACGTTCGCCGAAGAGCGGCATTTCTGCGCGAGTTCCTCGAAGAAACGGTTATTTCCATTTTATTTAACAATCACATTTCATAATAATAATGTAAACGTAACGTAATGAAGAAATTTTAAATGTATTACGATTCTTTGCTTTTCGCTCGAACGATTTGTGTGACTAAATCGCGAAAAATATCTTCCTCTTGTTCGGACAAAATTGAAGACGATACATATTGCGATACTAAGGGAAACTAATAGAAAAGTGTAAGTGACTTTTAATTCATGTATAAATGAGAGAGATTTGTGCGAAAGTTCGAAATTAATGATAATCGATGTAACAACAAGGGAGTGCAACACGCTGATGTGACGACGCGCGTCTGCTTTAAAGGGTTAATCGTTTCAGTCCACACGGCGCCAGGGTGTCTGGGGTAGTGGAGGAGACGCCGGGCCGTCTCGAGTACGAGGTGGCTCTTTATCGCGAGGCGACCGGCAACGTGTCCGATAATTCACAGACGGTCGATCAGGCGGTGCCGATCGGCACGAAGCTGCAGCTGCGCGCTCGCATTAGCCCGGACAGCGCCTGGGGTTACATCAAGCTGCTGGAAGTGACGGTCAGCCCCGACCCGGATCAGCCCCACGCCCCCGGCAGCGTCGTACTCGTGAAGGACGGCTGCAGAAATCGCGATTTTGCGTCCATCATTCCACATCAGCCGGCGAGGTACCGTGAGCGCAAGAACGAAGTCTTCCTCGACTTCGAGGCCTTCTTGCTGAGCTCGATGAGGGAGCGTTCCACCCTCTGGATCCATTCGCAGATTAAGGCGTGCATGGAGCCGCAGGATTGTCAACCGGTAGGTGATAACGATGATCGTTGAATGTATGATAAACGTATGATAAATGTCAATAATATCTCAGAATTGCATTTTGTCATACGACGAAACATCGGAAATATATTTAATAATTAGAATATTTATATTAATAACATATTTTTCTGTTAAAGGCACGTACGTACACACCTTATTAGCATTACTTGCTGAAAAGGGAATTCTTTAAGAAAATTTGTAATTTATTATTGGACAAGATAGAATATATCCAAGCTGGCAATATATCCATTGTAATTCTAAAACATCTCTATGAAAAACAGATGTAAATTTTCAACAATACATTATGTATAATTTTTTTAGCAACTTAGAATTTATTATTAGCAAAACAATGTAAATCTACCATTTGCATGTCCTAACTATTTATTTCTTAATTAAACTTCTTTTTTATTGTTATAAAAAATTTTTCATTTTTATTTAAACGAAATGTGAAACCACAAGAGAGACACAATTTTCTATTTAAAATTAAAATTTTGAGCTGTTGTGAAAACAATAGAACCATTTTTTAAAGAGCATTAGTCAAAAAATTTTGCCGCTGGCCGCTAATTTACTCTGTAGTGCGTGCATACCCTGCATATTATTAGAATATAGTGATTTTGATGGATTTGTCAAAACATGAAATGCATCAAATGCACTGGCATATCGCACCGGTAAAATCTAGACAGAAAGAAAACGCGATAGTTTCAGGATATAGTATGTATGACATGCATACAAAAATCCATTATCACAACGGATGCAGTATGACATTCTACATCAAAGATATGATCAGGATAGCTGAATATAAAATTACCTATCTGCCCTATCGTGCAAGAACCTGAAATATAAAAAAATCTACTAATTATTAATATTCATAACATAAAAGATAGTTCATAGATTTTGCAAATCTAAAAATCGAGAAAAAAGGGATAAATATGAATTCCTGTAGACAGGAATTATCTGTGCCAGCAATGTCTATCTCAGTCTGTCATCTCAATCTCTATACAACCTACATTCATATTAATTTGTTCATATTACCTGTTACAATTACCTGTTTTACTTACATAATTACAATTTATTTATATCATATTTATATTACTTGCTTACACTAGTTAATCGAAATTTTTCATTCTAATTGTACAGTAATTTTTCGCAACACGGAGGCTTTCTATTAAGATACGAAAGCAATCGAATTTCTTATTGTCATCTGTTAACCCTTTGTTTTCGCAGGATTTCTGTCTCGATCTTTTCGAACCTTCCGGACATGGGAAAAAAGAAAGAGAGCCGTCGAGGCGAATGTTGAGGTATCAGGCGAGTTCCTTCCAAAGGTCGAGCGTTTGATCAAGAGGTACAACGATTCCACGCCATACACAAAATTCAAAGAAAACATTGAGTATACAGTCATGATGCCCGATGGTACGTTTTTTATATAAATGCTTAATTACGAAGAAATTAAATTTTTTTAACCGCATAATCGATATTAATTTCCCTAACGTCAATAACAAATAACTGAAAGAGCGAGATTAGCGTATGATTGAAATTTTGCAGCAAAAACATCGAAAATAATTTGACATCAGAGATTAACACACTCTAAAGCCACCATCAGGTTACATTTTTATGTAACCCGCGTAATTATTGTTTCAAATTTTATTAATAAAAATTCGTTTTTTTTTCACATTTCACAAGATACTTATCTACATCCGTCGATTTTGCCAGTGAAAAAAGAAAATATTTATCTGGCCTTTAATGAAAGTTCGCCGACCCCCTTGATCTACATAAAGGCGAAGGAGAAAGGCGGAGATACGTAACGTAATCGTTATAGCTGCAACTAATTAATATTCCCCTCATTATCGTAGACTTGTACGACAAAGTGACGGCCGGCCTCGAAGGTAGCTGCGGAAGTTTTCTCTACGTGGCGACGGGATTGGGTGCCCTACTGGTGCTATCGGCCTTTATCATGTGTTACTTGGCGTCGCGTCTTCACAACTTGTCCTCAACGGTGCAGCAGAACAAGTCCATCGACGAGCTTGTCCGAGATCGCACCAGGAAATATTGCGACACCACGCCCGGGTACACCGGTCGTTCGACGGTGCAATAAAGCGACGGGCGATCGAAAGAGATGCATAAATCACTCTCGCGTCGAATGCTCCTCGCGAGGTGTACATTGTATCATACGAACGTTGCAACGTGGATACGCGTATCGTATCGTATATAATTAACGTAACGTTACCTCGAGACTAGAATGTTTATTTGCTAGGCTCGGAAGGAGGGCAATGTCATATTTACGAGCTACTTGACTGCTCGCCTGAAAAACGCGAGATACCTGTCCCACTTCAATGATGATGTATCTTAACGTTGCATTATTGATATAGTACGATACGATAGTCGCATTGCGGTCTTATCAAGAAGCGATCTTTCAGCTACGAGAGAAAAATAACATTCAGACGAGCGAACGATATTGCCCACCGTGAAATAAAAATAATTCTCGCGAATATGTCTGGTGGCAAACGATTGTACTTCCCGTGTAAAATAAAATTAATTTAGTTAACGATGAACGAGATGTGAAAATAAATGGAGAATTTATGAGTAGAATTTATCGGCGGATTTGACGATCTGCTGCGATTTACAATATTGATAAAGAGTAGACTACGTGACGTGGCCTCAGCAGGAGGCACTTTTCGAAAAATTCTTCTATACGAATATATAAAAAGTTTCTATATCTTTTGTTTAATTTTTCATTTTATGACTTTCCGATTCTAGTAAAAAAGCATATTTATTGTCCTCAAGAAGAATAATTTCTGCTTTGTTGTATATGTATATTAATGACATATAAATTATAATAATTTATCATATTTGACTGCAAAATTGATTAAGTCTTGTTACCAAGCGGATAAGTAAAAAAATGTTATTAAAAATTGATCTGTTTAACTTAACTATATTTTTTTATATCTCGAAGAACTTCGTTCGTTTATTAATTTCTAATGCACTATTTTTTTTTTAATATTGCGCACATCATGCAATTTCTGTCGAGATTTTTATGGTCTATCGATGTTGCTCAAATGCGGAAGATGGTCTCACTACGATGAGTCTCAAATGTGCAATGCTATCACGTGACCTGATCAAGCGAGCGGATCGCTCGTATAATAGAATAATAAGAATCTTCGCCGAATGCGAGGGAACTCGAACGGGACATTTGGGGTGGTTGCACGAATTTATCTCACCTTGTAAATAGACACAAATGCGGCTTGCATTTTATAGCATATCTTTTAAAATGCAAATGTTTTATACGTATATATTACGAAATCCATATATAATATATCGCAATTATATTTTGGAGAAAGCAACGGAAGTTATGAATTAATTTATTTCTAATAGAGGGGAAAAAATTGATAGATATAAAAAAAACTTACAGTTTTAAGAAGAACATGCTTAACTTATTCATCGAATTATCATACATTTAGCTAAGTATTGTTGGAGCAATCAATATATGTCTGAGTTGCATTTTTAAATAACTTCATCTCTCTCTCTCGAAGTTATTTTAAAAATAATTTGCGACAACAATAAAAATCATCATGTTCTCAAGTCTGACGCATGAAATTTGTCTAAAAATAGATAAGACTCGCTTCTGAAAAGGTATTTAAAAGGTTTTTATGTAAATTTAAGTAATAAGTAGAGAGAGAGAGAGAGAGAGAGAGAGAGAGAGAGAGAGAGAGAGAACAAAACTAATCGCGTAATAGCACACGCGTGATTCTAAGGATAATCAATCCGCGACGATCCGTGAAGGTAATTAAGAAGCGATAATATACATTACTTACGACTATTGTAGATGTGACTGTGTACAATGACTATTTATTATAAAATAAAAGATTGGACAATCTTCTGCGCGTTACAATCTGTTCGGTGTCGATTCTTCTGTAGAAAATCACAAACTGTACAATCTTTAATCCGGCGTAATGTAGTCCAATTGTCGCTACAAGCTTATCGGCGCCATCGCCGCTACATCAGGTCGAGGAACCTGTTTGCTGTGTTATATAGAATGTCCCAGATTCTCCGTTCAGCCACAGATTATCCGTCGACTTAACTGCCGATTCTACTTACTTTTGAAAGTAGAAAAGTCTTCGCGATTCTTTAATATCTGAGCTATCTAATATGTGAGAACGAGATATCCAATATCTGGAGAGCTCAGTTTATCTGGAACATCCTTAAACCAGCGTGTACGACAACGAATGTTACGTATTTTTCTCGCCACTCGTTTTTCTTTTTTATTTCTCATAAACGCAAACAGTTAAAGTTCGAAAACAAACGGTAACTCGTGTTCGTTCAGTCTATTCGACACGCGCTGTAAATCTAATTTCTTTGGCTCCGTTGATATTTTTGGACATACGATACTCTATAATATCTTTAGAAAATTTCTAACACTTAAATTACTCATTATAATTTGTCCGATGAACAATGCTTGTCGTAAAGTTAATCAACTATTCTATCCGGCCAAATATTTTACAAACCGCGAATTGTTCGCTCGGTCGTAAGTATCGTCGTCAGTCGAATGATCTGGACATCACTGAAAAATATGTGAATAGGCATTTGCAAATGCTTAGGAACTCTTTCGATTAATTAGACCGAATCACGAGTGAAGCTCATTTACTTGCCAATCTGGATTATTTCATAATTTCTGAATAAAGGAATTCGCGTTTCAATTCGCATTTTTGCTATTTAAATGCGTAAAACATTTTCCTAATATAAAAACTATCTTATATCTTATATTGCACAATGATTAATAATAATTTTTCCTTGAAAATCACAAACACATTATCTCTACAATTCTATGTGCATAATTTGCTTAAAAATATCTGTGATTAAAAACAAATGTTCTAATGTATGCGAAAAGAATAAAAACGAGAGGATGATAAAATAATACAAAGATTATTCACATGATGAAAGAGAATAGTGGTGAAAATAGTTGAAATTCAACAATTTGACTTGAAAAATATATGATCTTCGCTTCTACGCGTCTCGCATGATTGCTTATATGATTTTCAACATTTTAATTAAACAACGACATCACAATGTTCACATCGCGTGAGAGAAATTAATAATTAAGATACTAAGCATATCTACATTCAAAGGCTTTGTGACATACGAGATGATATACCTTCAAGACAACTCTTTAGAAATATGTCGAATATATGTAGAATGTTCCAGAACTATGACTAAAAGTAAATTCAAAGTTAAATTATTTGAGTTTCTGTTGAAAAAAAAATCTATTAAAATTAGCTTTGAAACACAATTCACTAAATACATTTCGAGAGTCAATTTATATTAGTAAAATTTAATATTTTGGACTCAGCTTTTTAATTATAATTTATTTGAAAATCTTGAAATACAACCTTGAATTCTTCTTTCTTATGTAACCATATAAGTTTGTATGTATATATTAATTATAATATTAATTACAACAATATGAAATAAAATAATGATTTTAAATTAATTAATTAACAACTTCTGTTTGCCAGTTTTGTCTCAAAAATTAAAATTTTATTTAATTTACTATAATTAAATTGAATCAATTTAGATAATTTACTGTAAGTAGTCAAAAAATAATATATTAATTTTTATTTATTTAAAGAAAAAAATAAATTGATAAAAGAAAAATTCATAGACCGAATAGTTCTGATACATCGTGCATATAAAGTGTTGCATAATTTCACAATCGTTGTGTATTTTCTGTTGCATTTTGCAACAGATTAAAAACAGAACGAATTTCCACATTGCTAATCGACATTTCTAACATGTTGATTGATTATAAATATTCACTTCAACTATGTAAGGCATTTCGAAATGATAAATTAAGTGTCGGTGTGATATCAAATTTACATATTAACTTTATAAAATTTGATCATCACACATACACGATGCGAATGTTCGCGGAAATAAAATAAACAATTATTCAATCCTGTCATTTTTCTTAGACTTCATGAAGGCTTCGTAAGCGGCAAGCTCTTTTTTCTCCTTCCTTAAATTTCTATCCTCGTATTCCAACCTGCAATTAGACGCTAGATCAACACGTGACAGGAATACTCGCAATAGTTGGGATATGTGGATGTATTATCATCAAAACAGATTAGCATGTATGATAAATGAAAATGGGATAAAATGTGGAACTCAAGAAAAAATGCTCGGTAAGATGAAGAAATTTACATATCCCATTAGAAGCAGTAAATGAATGAATGACAACAAATTATAATGAGAAGTAAGTAAATATGCGTTTATTGCAAATTGAATGGAAAATACAGAAATGCCAGATTTGTTTTCCATCAACGATTGCTTAATAATTTAATAAAGTATACAAAACAATCAGATTTTAACTGTCATCGTTTGTTGAAATTCTTAATAACCGTACAAAGCTCGTTCGGCCTAGGGGGATAGAAAGAATATGAAAAATTAATACGTAAATCTTATCTTTCCATCTAATTAAAAATTTAATTTTGCAAGATCAATTTTATTATAGGTATGAACAGGAATGGAACACAGAGGAATATATAAAAAATATCTTCAACTTCATGGAAATCTAACTTCAACTTCATGGAAATCATAATGTAATCATGATGACTCAGGGACGGAAGAATATGATATGTTATCAAACGTGGTAACATATTGTTCATGAAATAATAGTGTCTCGCGTTATATTATTCCTTTTCAAACAATTACAATATATTTAATCATATAATAACCGCGAATAAAGATGACAAATAGATAATTTTTACAAACATATTTTGTTTTAACATTGAGGCAGTATCTATTCAAAAATTTCATAATTAAAGACTACACAACATATAAATTATGAGAATGTAATATACAAATTATGATTAGAAATATCTTTATAGATAAAAATCTTAAAAAATTGTTCTTCGAAAGTCTGATAAAAAGAAAATAGATATAACACCCTGTAAAGATAGAACATACCTGTGAAGAATGATTCTTTCAACGATTTTTTCCGTTGTCATGTCGTTACCGCTGTCTAACAATTTAAATTTATTTTGTTTCTTGGGCTCCGCGTATGGATCCGAACCATCCTCGCAAGGCATTATAGGTGTTTGTCCATGACATACGACAGATACATTGAAGTGCTCCATCAGATTTCTTGTCACTGCGTACGGCGCGCCAATTACCACTTCATTAACATACTGAAAAGAACAGAAATATATTTTTTTTTTATGAGAGAACACTATGTATAAAAACATTAACCTGAATTGTAAATCTCAATCTTAAGCTTGCAATCTTATCTATTTAAATATAATTTTAAGAAATGTGGCTTATCAAATTTCTCTATTAAAAAATACGCATTAGTTTTCTATGAACTATGCAGATCAAAATCTAATATTTTTATAGTTTCGTATTTTTTGCTGTCATTTAATTATATTCATTTAATCATATATAAACGCTTAATATATTTAATATATAAAAATGTGAAAATATAAAAAAACATATATAAAATACATTAAAATACATTAAAAATCTTAGACTGATGCAAAAAAACTCACCTTACACGCTAACACACTGAGAACTCGTTCATGAAGATTCATAATGGGATGATTGCCACATTTGTATCGATTAACTGCAGGATCCGTGTGCAAGCCAACTATTAGATAATCACCTTCCTTCTTGGCAACTTCTAAGAAGTCCAAATGTCCCACGTGGAAAAGATCGAAGGCGCCCGCCACGTACACAATTTTATCATCCGGCTGCGGACTCTTGCCGTCACTGAATTGTATAATTTTCTGCGTAGTCGGTAAAAATTGCGAACAACCGGTCCACGGACTCCGGGCAGTTCTATCCTGACCCATGCTCTTGCTCGGTTCTCTATCGACGCTGTACTCGTTGTCGCCTTGTCGAAAATGCTGTCGTGTCATCAGCAACATGCGTCCTACAAGATCGGTCGTTGAGACGCCAGCTGTTCGTTGAACTTCTCTGTGAAATAATCAAGTCCTCTTAGCAAGATGTATAAAATCTTTTTAAGAAATATTTAACTAAACATTTAATGAAACAATATGTCGATCTAGTTAAAGTTTATAAACTGTACCTGTAGCGATCGGCTGCCTTGACTAAATGATACGTATCTACGCCATCAGCCGTCATTGTGATATCATCGCCGTGAACGCAAAAGTCACAGTTGTACTTATCTAATGTTTCTAATGTAGTGACGTAGGGCGCGGCTTCGACTACTTCGTCTACCCATTTGATGCCGCGCACCATTTTGTACCTAAAAAAAAATTCGATATATTTCTTAATGATAATTATAATTCATAATTATAAAATTCATATGTAATCATGATCATTATTTTATCTACTTTGCTTAACATGTTTGTTCATGGAAATTTTCGTGAGAATAATTTCGAATTTCACTGTAAGAATTTCATGAAGATTTGTTACATTCATATCGGCACAATCTTGATTGTAATTAATACTAGAGAAAGTAACATTTATATAAATGCGGCTGAGGCAAGATTTTTGCTTTAAGCAACATTGTAATTTATCCTCTAGTTATTCAGTTTTTTTTACAGATATTGACCTAAAATGTCAAGGCTCTAGCAAGACCTTCTTTCCTGACACGAGATTATAGCTTCGGAATACATAAATATTTTATCTCCAAATGATAATATGAATATGAAACTCGTGTAAACATCTTTTTTCCGCAATGACTAAGGTATATTATAATGTGCTAGAATCGGAGCACTAACATCTATCATGTAATCGATGGTAAGAGAGAAACGTGCTATAGAAGTGGAAAACATTTGTATCTACTAACATGTTTCAAAAGAATAAATATACAGAATTTCAAAGATTGATTAACACATAATAACCGACTCCGGAATGACAATCAGAATTGTGAGTAGTCATTATGCCTTACATAATTTCCTCTAATGAAGCAACAGAAATACCTTTCTTGCTCAGTGAAGACTGGTGGGCCCTTGTGTCTTGTGATCTCCTCATCATTGTGGACTCCTACCACCAGATAATCGCCTAAAGCTTTCGCTTGTCTCAAGGAATTTGCATGTCCGAAGTGTACCATGTCGTAACTGCAATTAATATTTAATTTATGTTGCTGATATTTTATTAGTGAAAATATCAATAAAATTACTTCAAGAATTAAAAAAATAAATATAAATAATGTAAATCAATACAAACTAAAATCATGTAATCTAATCAGAACAGAAAATTAAATATTTCCTCCATAAATATATAAGGAATAACGAATAGATGCACATATCTGTAGATATGTAGATTATTTGTGTCTCATAATAATAATATTAAACTAAAATTTGTAAATTACGAACAATCTAATAGAATTTCTGGAAAACTGGATTTTGCATAAAAATGTTTAATGAAGATAATATTATTAGAATATAACATAATCCAATAACAATTTTTTGCAGTTATGTAATTTTGCATTTTACCGGTTTTTTATTTAAATAATATTGAACAAGAATTTATAAATCACAAACAACTTAATAGAATTCTAGAAAAAAAACATAATTTAGCGCGAGAATGTTCAAAGAATATATTAATATTAATAAATATTATATAACGATTCAATAATGATTTTAGAAAGAGTAATCTATCGATGGACCTTGAATATAATAGAAAATAGCTTCGATAACTATTATATCAGTCCTGCAAATTGCGATAACGCGAAATATAAATATGATAACATGCTGATTTATATGCAGCTGCGTTTTTTCTATTGCATCTAAAAATTGATAAATGATGTGCAAAATGCTCTACGTACAAACGATATCTTGGTCGATAAAGATATGAAAATTGAAATTAAAATATTCAGAATTAAAAATAAACTTAAGATTATAATTTGAAGAGTCATAAATTATGTGAAATATTTAAAGCGAATGAGTTACAATGAAAACACTAGAATCAATCATCGCATTCGAGGGTCATCGAGGATTGCGCCATCGTAAAAAAAAGGAATAAATTAGAAATAAAAAAACGAACATCGATTACATTGCATGTGTGAAATTGCGATTACGTTTCATGTGCTTATGACTATCAGTTTCTATTCGTTAATCGATTAAGCGTTTCAAATGACTTATTTGCTAACGACATTGATAAAGAAATTTGATTATTTTTAGCATGAAGTATACAAATATTTTAAATGTGGTCAAGGAAAACGACAAAGTTTTCGAGGTCATAGAGTAAAAACTTGAGTTTCGGCGCTGTCGACGTAAGCTGTTCTGTCATTCATATCATGTGTCGTTTTATATCGGAATGTCAAGCGAGAATGCCGCGAATTGTGTCAGTTGAACCGCCGGTTTCAACCGGAGACATCAGATGATTATTGCCAATCACGCGCGAGGCGATTTTGGAATATATATATCTTCGTCTATACTCAACTAATTTATTTCATTAGAGAACGAGAACTGGAGAACGCATTCGACTCTTTTCCTTTTGTTTTTTTTTCACCCGTAACGTAAAGCTTATAACTATAAACTAAACAAAACCTGAAAAACCTGCATAACAAATAATGCAAATATATAATATAAAATAAATAAGTCGAATTTGAAATGTGTGTGAATTTTAAATAAATCTAAGAGTAAAATAATGTTATATATTTTTTGTTTTGAATAAATAAGCTATTTTAAAAAAAATAAAATACGCAATATTAACCCAATGAGCAGAATGTCTAAAATCAACGCATAAGACAACTTTAAGATATCTTTAACAATTCTTTAACAATTCTAGGAAACATTTTTAAGATATCTCATAAAAAGAACTCTGAAAAATATCTTGAAGTTATCTTATGCGTCGATTTTAGATATTCTGTTCACTGGAAACAGCGTTGACTCTCATAAGCCATTTAAATTATTGTTTCGATTAAAATAAATAAATATAAAAATAAATTATTTGTTCAATTATCGTTCAAAGTTTTCACTATAAAAAATTCACATTGTTTACATGTTGATTAACAATTGCGCGGAAATTAGAGAGAAAAAAGTCAGGAATTACGTCATTTAATTCGTTTTATTCACCATTTTACTCGCTATGCCGGGAGGGTTGGACACGTACAGCCCAGCTATGATAATATCGATTGATCCGCGTTCTTAACGAAGCTCGCGGTGAGAATGCAACGTACTCCGTACCCCGCGCGTCTCGCGACATATCGCGAGCGACGGGCGACACGTGTGCGTCGCCTCGTCGGCCGGCCGGGCGCGTTCGGCGGCCTCCTCGCACGTCGCCTCCTCGGGATCTTCGTTCGACGCGTGTCTCCCCGAAACCCGGCGTCCGATACTCACCACCCGTCGCACCAGACGCGGACTTCCTTGCGGGCTTCTTCCGTCATGACGAACGTGGATGGAACGAGCGCGAGTAATATGTCCTAATGTCGCCTAATGAGTCTCTACCCGCCGAATCCCACAAATGGACGTCCGACGTCCAGATATTCCGTGGGCTGATCGTGCAAAGAGAAAAAGGGCGGAAGGAAAGAGAGGAGAGCCCTCACATACAAACGATCCGCCACCGACCCCGTCACGAGACAGACTGCGCGCGTCGCCGTTTCACACGTCGCCTTTAAAATCCCACCGCGTCCCGCACTGGCGAGTTGGCGTCATTGTCGAGTAGGGATTTAGAACTGACGCAACTCCGCGGGGAAGCTCGAATCTCCACGTCATCGAGAATGGTCCTTCATGGCAATCGTGAAATTAATTGACGTGATAATAAAGCGCACGTGGAAGTCATGATTGATTTCTAGTCCCATCACGATTCATTGACGATTTGTTAATTTTAAATCCTAAATGATTAATTT